GGAGAAGCTCTGCGGCCCAGCAGAACAGTTGGCACGACTCAATAGGCCCCTGTGACCAGTCAGAGGGCAGGCCGCATGCCTGGCTGGAAAACCCCCAGAATTTTAGCACATGTTGGCTCTTAGTTAGTGACAGTGGTGGCCTCTAGCAGCCGGCCAGGGCCGCACCCATGGCCCCACCTTGGTGGACGCACCCAGCTTCCTGCTGGCGCTGGCCTGTGCTGCGGGCAGGCTCTATGTCTGCGGGAAAGCCGGGCTGGGCCTGCACCAAGCCGGGAGGTGCACCTGCTGCGGCATCTGGGGGACGCCAGGGGACGTCGGGCAGGTGGGAGCCCAGGCCTGGCCCGCCCGGGTCCGGATGCTCCTTGCACCCCCCGCTCAGGTCACCTGCACCCGGTCATTCAAACTCCCGGAGTGGGTTTCCTCCTTTGTAGATCGGAGAGGATGCAGGCCCCTCGGGAAGCAACCCCGGGAAAGGGCCGCGCCCCCGCACGCAGGTGCCTGCTGCCATCTGGTGGCAGAGGTCAGTTTTGCACCGAAATGGACGTGGAAGTAACGGGCCACGTTGGACCGCCCTGTGGGGTCGCACACGTGGTGGCTCCCATCGTGGCGTTTGGGGGTGAGGCCGTGGGCACGATCTCGGAGGATCCCAGCCTCGGGGTGGGGGCGGGAAAGGTCCCGAGTCCCCGCCAAGGCCCTGGGCTGGGGATGCCGCTTTCACTTTGGAGGCCACTGCCACCCGGTGGCCGCACCTCGTACCTGCAGCTGCAGGCACAGGTGACCCCAGAAGCGAGGCTCCCCCTTTCCCTGGATCAGCGAAGCCCCGGAGCAGGTCCTCTAGGGAAGCGCCTCCCTCCACGTCTCCTGGCCAGGTTCTCAGCACCTGTTGACCCTCCACTGAGGACTTCTGGAATATTCCGGGCTTCTCCTAAACACCTTTTCCCCTTGGATCTCTCGCTCTCTCTTGCCCAGAAGATGACCACAGTTATAAGGGTCCTACACTTAGAAGAAAACTTAAAAGCATGAGATAGTGCAGGAGCTGCACAGGAAGGCCTGTATGGACACATGGCCTGACTTTGGAGCCGCTTTGGACCCACATTCCCGACGCTAAGAGCCCCCCCAGTTCCAGTGGAAACCTTCCCAACAACCCTGATCTTCCCTTGTCCTTAGGCGCACAGGCTTTGACACACAGGCCCTCACCAAGTGCTGGCTGAATGCACCTGCACCAGGCGCTTCTAGTCATCCCCCCACAGCAGCTCCAGAAGTCAGAAATCCAACCTAGAGTAAGCCCATGACCAAAGATTCCACGGAAAGAGTGGCGGGCCCCAAGTCTGAGGTCCCCCACATGGTGCCCAAGGTTTATCAGAGAGACACTGACACTAATGATGGAGATACTGTACGTCACGGGCCATCGTCTGCCCCACGGGCTCTCCGGTGTCACCTCTGTGGTCTTCCCAGCGACCCCAGCATCCCCTCCTCTCCTTTCCCCTGCCCCAGGCCCTGGCGACAGCAGTGGGTACAAGACCAAGCGGGGTGGTTTGGGCACCTGGGACTGAGCACGATCATCAGGAGCGATGGCCACAGTCCCGAGTCCCTGATTGTCACCTGCGGCCACTGGCTCCGAAGAGCCCCTCAGGGGATGGACGGCTCTGTTAGTGGGGCTGTGGCTCCAGACCCCTAGGTTACCCCTTGTGTTTTCTGATCACAGTAGTTTTGTTCTCCGCCAGTTATTAAATATTCAGGGATTTTGTGAACCAGCTGCTAAAAACGGTCGGCATCTTGCCATCAGCCGTCGTAGGACGATTCATACCACAGAAATCAGCAAACACTTATAAAGACAAACGGAATGACCACGGCTTCATCTCCCACAGATAACCCTGTGACGTGTTGGGGTTTTGTCCGTTTGGGGCTCTTTCTCAGCGCACAGCGAGTAGGGGCTAGAACATGCCTCCCTTGTAGCTTTTGCATTCCTCAGTTTACCCAAAAGTTTTAAGAGCTGGGCCTGCTGTCAGCCAGAGGGTTGGAGGAGGCGAGCCGAGAGAATCAGAGGAGTAACCGAGGCCCCCCGAGGCCCCCCCCCGCACTGCCCTCTGTCTCCTGGGGCCCACGAGATGGACCAGTTCAGGCCCTCAAGGCGTTTTACTCCTTTCCTTTGGAGGTTGCCCCCAGGCACTTTCTGGACAGAGTCAGATCATGAGGCCAACACAGTTCTCCACCAGACCAGTGATTCTCAACCTTGGCTGCAGGTTAGAAACACCTGGGGAGCTGCTAAAACGTGGCCACGTTCGGAGCCGTGTCTGAGCCCAGTTGAGACTGACTACACATCAGAGCATGGGGGGGGGGGTGGCCCAAGTGCCAGTATCTTAAAAACAAACACCCCTTGATGCTAGGTGCGGGGCAGCCAAGTTAGGAGCCACAGCACTGGACAGTGAGGCCCCAGGCTCGCTGCCTATTAGTCTCCTGGGAGGCCTTTATTGGTCCTCATGCCTGGGGGGCCCGCCCAGCCCAACTGAATCCAAACTTGAAAGCTCTCCAGGTGATTCAGCTGGAGCCAGAATCGAGAAGAGCTGCTCTAGACCCAGTAAGGATCACCGCTTACTTTGTAGCTCATCTCCAAATATGCAACCATGTTAATAAAAAATAAAAACAAAAATAACAACAGAAAACTAGGAAGGGGCACCTGAGTGGCTCAGTGGGTTAAGCATCTGCCTTCGGCCCAGGTCATGATCCCGGGGCCCTGGGATGGAGGCCTGCATCGGGATCCCTGCTCAGAGGGGAGTCTGCTCCTCCCTCTCCCTCTGCACCCCCTGCCCCCCGCCTCTGCTCTCTCCCACTCTCTCAAATAAATAAAATCTTAAAAAAAAAAAGCACCAAAGTTACAGAATCTTGATGTTGCTATCACCCCACACGATCAAAACTTCTTCCAAAAGGTCAAATGAATCCCTTGCTCTTGACCCTGAAATCAGAGTCTGAACATATACAGATGGCACACTACACTCTCTTTACATTTTCTTCTTAATTGTAGGGTGGGGGACTCTTGAGAGTCGGAATGGAATCAAAGCTCTGCTTCGCCCAAGCCCACAAAGTGTTGAGGGGGTGTGCTGGGCAAACGCACAGAAGCTCCCAACAAATATTCAAGACAACCCAGCAGCACATGTGACTCTGCAGCGTATACATCATGCCTCAATTCCCCAGTTTTCAAATGTAAGTGCCAGGCCCAGACCCTATTCATTACTCACTCCACATCGGTGATCCTCAGACTGAGGTTGCTGCACTAGCAGCAGCAGCAGCTGCTCCAGGGAACTAGTTCGAAAATTCTGGGGGCTGCATACGCCAGACCCACCGAGTCAGCAGTCCGAGGCCCGAATCTGTATGTAACGAGCTCTCCAGGTGACAGAGACGCCTCCCCAGAGGCGCGTCGACATTACCAGCTGAGGACACTGCAGGGTCCGAATGTGGTCTAAATGAGGGGGTGAAAAAAAAACAAGCAAGGGAAAGAGAGATTTGAGATTTTGCTTTCCTGGGGGTATCCGCACATCCGTTCCAGTTGTGCGGAGCCCCCCACCTGTGAACTGAGAACACAAAGCATCCAGATAATTCCCCCATCGAGGTTAACTGCCACTGAGAACACTAGATCATGGCAGGATTAAAAAATATATATATTATGCAAACTTTCTTCTTTCTCTGAAAGAAAACATCCGAATGCTTGGGCAGCATCTTGAGACTGCTCATGCGCCATCTCCAGGGATTTTCTGAGGCCCTGTTCTTCGCCCTTCTGTCATCTTGTGCCTTTCAAACCTTTAAAAGTCTCCCCTTGGATGTCCCATTCGCCTTCTGTGTTCCTAGCAGCCCAGTTCTGAATTTTGTGTGGGTTCTGCGTAGGGAGGGACACAGTCGCCGCACTCTTCTGTGGCATTGGAATCCCAGAATTCGAGTGAGCGATGCTCTCCAGTGACTTCATGGCCTCGTGTGTTCCACAAGGATGGTCTCTTGGATGCCAATGACTACAGGGGCGGGGAACCTGGGGTAGTGACGATAGGTCTAGGTCACCGGGCAAAAAGCCAGCACACCTGCCACCTACCCGATAGTGGTTTCATTGCCTCACCTTGGTTTTGGGGGAAGAGTGTCCTCAGTGGGAGTCCCCAAAGACCCCTCCCACCCCGACTACCCCAGATCTGCCCGTTCTGAGTGCCCAGCCTTGTGTACCTGGATGCTCCCGGCTTTGCCCAGCACCCTCAGATGTTGTAGTGATGGATGCCAAGAGGACCAGAATCCAGAACTGACCACAGCTCCACTGCCCCAGAAGATTAGAAGAAGCCCCATACGTTGGGGGAGATGGGACGAAGAGACCCCCCAAGGAGAAGGTGGGGTGGGGGAGGAGCAGGAGACGGGGTCTGGGGTGCAGGTCATGGTGAGGGGCCAGACAGGGCAGAGAGCTGGCCACTGAGGCAGCAGTGAGGGAGTCGATGGGAGGGCAGGAGATAATTTGGGGAGGAAGCTCCCTGATTAACCTGTGATCTTCATATGCTCTTTAAAGTCCAAAATTCTCCATTCTTCAGAGGAGAGCCAAACACAGGCGCCGGGCCTGTAATAATAAAAACCAGAGCCCAAGAGCCACATGTGAAGCTTGAGTTTCACCATTTGTCCTGCTGTTGGCCCAGCCACCCCTTTGACTTTGGGGTCTGCCTACCTCACCAGAGGCACCCGTATCACTTCTGGGGTCCTGTCAGAGAGGTTTCTAGGCTCTGGCCAGGCCAGTTGGACGCAGCATCACCAAAAGGGGCAAGGGCACAACCTGTTACAGGGATGCCCCACCAGCTAGTATTGCTTTGGGTTTTTTTAATTTTGTTTTGTTTTTTTTGTTTTGTTTTGTTTTTGGTTCCAAATGTGCAAGAAGCAGATGCTGCCCACAGAAGCCAAAGCCAAGGATGCCTGCGTGTGTCACCATGTGGCAGATCTATCTTCCGGCCTCCCCCTACCCCCAGTCAAGCAAGTAGCCATCATTTATAAAAACACAGCACACACTGGGTTTTAATGAGAAAATAACTGTATACTTGCATCGAATGCTTCACGATCACTATAAAACCAAAGCAGGATAATAACATTTAAGTGGTTAACATACACAGGAGAGCCAGATACAGAGTATAATTTTCAAACACAGTATTGCTACTTCCCTCCCCACCCTCCTCCTCCGAGAAAAAAAAAAATGTCATTTGGGTAAAGGGCAACACAAAATCAAAATTGGCAGCTCACTCACTGAATGCTTAAAATTCAGGAAATTGGTTCTGTCACTAAAACTGGATATATTCACCATCTCTAAACACTTAGGCTATTTTTTTTCAATACATAGTTTAATTACATCCATTCTTTAATTGGAAAAAAATGTTTGTCTTCAGAGACAAGAGTCAACACCGTTTTAGAGTTTCTTGTTACGCTTTATTACGTGTGTGTGTTGTGTATATATGTGGACACTGACCTATATACTGCTTATATGTCATTGTCTAGGGTGGGCAGCATGCAGAGGTGTAAAGAGGCAAGGAAATTGCATTGTGTCATCCAAGTAGAACACAGCCCAGCCTCCTACCACTGACAGACCCTGTTTCCATAATTTCTGGATGAGAAAGCCAAGGCATGTCAGTAGTTAATCAGCTCCCGAGGAAAGTGAACATCTATAAACACTGTGGAAAGGAACACTTTCAGGGAAGCTTTTAACATCTACAGAATCTAAACATTTGTTATAGTTGAGATTAACAAGCTTGCGTGCTATTTGGGGGCAGGGACGAGCATCAGAGGCCCATTTTTTTTTTTGCTTGGACAAGCCTCTTCCTCTTGATGAGATTAGGCAGGAATGACTCTCCTCCAAGGGGTCGGTTGCGTCTTCAGAAGGTTAAAGGGGCTCATTTGGGATCCCAGAGCCTAGCACGGTGCTATGTACAATGGCCAATGTTTTCTGAAGGAGTTAAAAAACTCAAGAGCCCAGAGAAAATCTGGCTCTTCCAAGGGAACTGTGATTTACACCTTAATAGGATCATAAGTGAGTGGAGCAAGGAAATAGCAGTCGTCAGAAGGCAGCAGAGGGAACGAGCAAACGCTGGAGATGTAGGGGCCGTAGTTAAGCAGCTTTGTGACTGTGAGAGGGTCACGGACACTCTGCATCTGTTGCCTTATCTGCACATGGAGCACAGGCCAAGGGACTCGGCTCTAGGACTCTACGCAACGCCATTCATGCTTCTGGTTCAATCAACTGAGGTCAATGGCCAATGGGTCTGCCTCTAAAGCGATTCCATGAACTGTGTGGCCTCCTAAGCTTTCCCATCAGCTGCAGATTCTCCTTTCAAATGTAGGTTTAAGGTGGGTGAACACATGGCTTCCTTCAACACAGAATAAAAAAAAAACTGTAGCTTGGTCCCGGGGGGCAGGTGGGCCTGTTTCCTCCGGTGAAAGATGGTGTTGGTCTCTATCACGTCTAGCTCACTAGCAGGTGCAGAGTCGGTCCAGAAAACACGAAGCAGGTTTCATTTTCTCGTGCCACTCATAAAACCACTCTGCTCTCTGGCCATCCTTGCTACCTGCCACTGTGCCCCTGAGCCACACAGGAGCTCCGGCCCCTTTGGTTTTCAAGTCCCGTGCCTGCCTGGCGTGGGAAGGCCGGAAATCCTCAGGCAAAGCAGCCTTCCTGGGTCCTCTCATTTCATCCATTAGGACTTCCCATCTAACACAGACCTCATTTTCCTGGGAATGTCTCCATGCCAGCCTCCCTCACTTGAAAATGAATTCCTTGCAGCAGGGATCTTATTTGGTTTGCGTCCCCAGTGGCTAGCCTATATTGTTGAGTCTTCCTTCAGAATGTTCGGGAGAATAAACCATATAAAGATGGTGCCAACTACCCGTCTCTAGAGTTTGGCTTCAAATTGCAGGTTCCCTTGGCAGTTTTAAAGGATCCTTGTAAGTCATCAGACAGTTGCATTTTTACTCTATGCCCACTGCTTGTCTGTGAATAAACTTTCCCCCTAAAGTCAACACTAGTCTATTAAAAGAAGCGAAGATAATGTGCCTAAAATCTACATACAAACTGTTGTGGCATTGCTACTTGTCAGGATAACATATCAGAGCTTATGACATAACAACATAAAAACAAAAAGGAATTTTAGTGAGGTCTGGCTTAATTATTGCTTTTTTAAAAAAAAATCATAGTTTTAAAACAAATAGAAAAAAAAAAGGCTGGTCAGTTGTTTTTTTTTTTTTTTTTTTTTTTTTCTCATGGCCAGAATTAAAAAACTTTTCTCATCCAGAAATTCAGGGCACTCAATTACTGAATACCCTTATCATATTGCTTTAAATGACAGAAAGAGTAAAGCTGGCATCCTCTACAGTATACTAAGCTATGAATACAAAGCATGAGAATAAATATGGTACTTTTCTAAATGTCAAATTACAAAACCGCTCAAAACTTTGCAATTGTGACTCATGCAAATACCAGGTTAGGTCAATTTAATATTACAAATACTGCATCAGGTCGGTGCCTCTATATCCCTTTTCATAAAAAAGAAATTCTCACTCACTCCTGACGCTGGCAGACAGCTTTGGAGGAAATAACTGTACACCCTTGTCCCATGTTCATTCTGGAATTTTAATCCTTGTACACACACTTTACCCAGACACACAAAGGCACGTGCGCATGCGCACACACGCGCACACGCGCACACACACACACACTATCTTTAGGATTTGTAGCTGATTCCAAGCCTGCACTTATATTTCTATTCTATATTTTTCTATCATCCTGAAAAATGCTGGTTGCTCAGCAAAAATAGTATCTCTTACTTCCTTATTTTCCTACTTTCTCCCTCTCTGTTTCTCTGTCTACCTTCATGACCTTTTCTTTAACGTGTCCTTTCTGATTGATCAAAATAATCTATCACTCCTCCTACCAAGGTCCACTTTATAATATAAAATATAGTCATAAACACCTTTTTATTTTCTGTCCTCTGCCTCTCTAAGGCAGCGTTTGCCCTTTTTTTAATTATTGCCATTCTAAAAATACCCCTAACCATCTTGAGCCAAGTCATTGAATGTGTACAGATTTTATACATGGATATACTCCCCCCATCCCATCATAAAAATAGTTGTTGCCCGCTAAATATAGTTTTCATATGAAGAAACGTAACTGTGAAAATGTGTTCTCATAAACAGCAAATTAGTCAACACTAGAAGCAGACGAGATCCTAAAGCTAAAATAATCCATTTGGTTTGGCTTTCTCCCTCTTTCTCAACCCCCTCGTGTAGAATAGATTGTGTTTGCAACATGAAGAAACATTGTCTTAAAAATGTGGATTTTTATGTATTGCCCATCATTAATTGCTCCCAATTAAAAACAATTCAATGCAAGAAAAATGGAATCATAAGTGCCTCTTCCAGGCAAATAGAGAGCAACTTGCATTTCATTTTATGGCTGCTGGAGTAAACAGAGTTATCCCAACACCTCTGATGCTGTGAGTGAAGGTGGGAAACCGATGCAGGGAGTATCCAACGCCCTGTAGACTGCACCAGCGTGGGCTCTACTGCTCTAAATGGCCCTGTTACCAATGTTTGTCCTCATCACCCAGCGAGGCTGGTCTTAGTTCTGCCTGTAGCAACCATGTTGATTTGCTTGTTACTGCTTTGTCCTTTTGGATCAACTGTGGATTGGTCCAAAACCCAGGTGATTCTTCGAGTCTCAAAAAAAAAAAAATCCTTTCTCTTTTGACTCCTGGGTGTTTACAGAGTTTGATGGTGGTGGGCTTCTTTTCATCGTTGGTCATTGCAGCTTCTAGTCTACGTAAGGATTGTGGAGTTTGTTCGCACTTTAATAAATATTCCATTAAAATGCTTCGATGTGTGGATTTCTTGGTTTCTTGGTAACCCAAGCACCAAAGAAGCTTCCTGGGTGGAAGGAAGTTTATTATTCATGGTCCTCTTCCTCCTGGTTGGCATAGATCCCTGCCTCCCAGCGCAAGGCCAGTGCGCTCTTTCTTCGATTAACCCGTGTGGCCTCAAGGACCTGAAGAGAGAGGGAAGAAAATTAATCAGAGTTCATGGATGTTCTCTACGTACACAAACCAACTTCTCCGTGTCTTTCGTCCTTTCCCTCTCAACAGCATCTAAGAAACAGAAATTAATAGTGTCTGGTATGGCCAGGAGGTAGAAGAGACATGGCAAATAAAGCAGGGAGGGAGGGTCTGGATATGCATTCATTCCATAGCCAAATTTCATTTGCTATTTGACCCATAGTTTTCAATAGAGAAAGATTTAATTTCCCTAAAGTGTTCTGCTGGGCTTTTTTTTTTTCTTCTTCTTCTTCCTCCAAATTTTCATTTAAATTCTAGTTAGTTAACGTATAGTGTAATATTGGTTTCGGGAGCAGAATTTAGTGATTCGTCACTTACGTAAAATACCCAGTGCTCATCGTAACAAGTCTGCACATCTTTTTGATCTAGACTTGACTCTGCATTAAGTCTTCTGATAACACAGTAGGTCTCTACATGTTATCTGATCAGTGCTGTCTGATGGAAATGTTCCATATCTGTGTCATCAATATGGTAGCCAGTGAGCTATATGGCTATGGAGCACTTGGAATAATAAGGCCAGTGTGGGTGAGAAGCTAAATATTTAATTTAAATTAATTTTAATTTTAATATCCTCATGGACCTAGTGACTACTATAGTGAACAGCACAGCTATAGATTAACCTTAGTCTCTTTTTAAACTAGCAAACCAGAAAATAATCCCAAACAACTGGACCAGTGTAGATTCTATCCATCAAGCTTTGCGGACTTACACAAGCTATGATCATATTTATCATAAAAGTCTACTTTGGTAGAACTAAACTTCCAAGAGAAACTAAGTGGAAAGAAAAATAGCTTCCCAGGCCAATAAAAAGCAATCTGAGCATAATGACGCAACATCAGAGCCCAGGTTGCCTAACAAATGAAATGCAAGGTAACAATATCAAGGACAGGTAGGCTCACCACCATTGGGGTAAGGCCTCCCTCCCTCCAGTTCACTAGAATAGTCTGTAGACGCCAGGGGGAAAACTTTAGCCAGTCTGTTCCCAGCTTTGGTTCAATTGAGATGAGATCCAGATGGATGGCATTCAGGTTGCCAACATATGAGAAATGGCTCGATTTCATGACACTGCATCACAAGCAAGCCCATGCATGCCAACCAATTAAATTATGGTGGCATTAGCTTAAGAAGCACAGTTGCTGATTTTAAAGAAAAATCTAGCAGAGTCGACACAGATTGACATCCAAACTACAATGAAGGCTTTGCTTATTCTAAGAACAATCATTTTGGCATGGAGCAGAGATGCAGGCAACTCTAGAGAAGCAAGGAGATGCAGGCTGCAGGCAGTGCTGGGGCCAAGGCACAAGCAAGTTCCGGGTAGATTCATGGTCTAGGGGTCCATCTCAACCTGCCTCTTTGTACCTCTGACAAATGGATGGACTTCCCAGACTTCCAGTGTGCTTTCCCCAGTGCCCCCAGCAGGGACAGCTAGACCTAACAGGTAGGATGCACTCAGCCACGTCTCCTAAATGAATGTTCATCGTTAAGCACGCAAGCCGTGTCATAAAGCATCTTGCATGTAAGCATACCAGGGTCACTTATTCAATATCTAAGAATAAGAAACCAGTAGGAGCAAAAAAAATGCTTCCAAATCTGGTATAATTAAGTAGAGGATTCATCTAGAAGGTCAGTGCATGGTAACACATTACTGAGAAACGGTACAGGACTGGAACCGGAAGCCCTGACTTTCTTTTCCATTCCATCTGGAACACGTTGTTCATGACATCTTGCGTCTCAACTTTCTTAATCTGTAAGATGGAGACAGCACCTGCCCTGGGACGCAGGCTTTCTCTGGAGACAGTGCTGACTCGTCTGAAGTCCAGGTAAGTCTAGATGTAAATCTTAGTGACTGTGTGGCCTTAGAAAAGTCACTTACCCTGGGCCTCAGTTCTCTTCTATGTGAAATGGGAGTAATAAAAGCTACAGGACAGAGCTGGCCCGAGGAACAAATGAGGCAATGTATGTATGGCAGAGCTCCCAATGCTCTGCAAGTTTTCAAATAATTTTTGCCATCGTTATTGGAGGGTGCTTTGTAAACTGTGAAGTGGTATTCAGACATAAGGCACTTTTATAAGGAGCTCTATCTACACTGCTGTCTCCAAGTATATAAGCCTTCTGGTCATGGACTGGCTCAGGGTGAAGTCATTCTACCTGATGGCTTTTTGAAGATTCAGAGGCCAAGCTCTTGGAGAAGGTTTCTAAATAAGCAACTGCAGAGAGAGAGAGAGAGTGTGTGTGTGTTTCTAAATCTCGAGCAAATCTAGAGCTCTGACACTTTAGTTCCTGCATATTAACTTTACTGCTTAAAGTCCATTCCTTTCTTTTCTGGGCACAAAAAGGACTTGCCTCTGGGGCTCTAGTAACAGCAAACACATCACACATTCTGTTGAACGACTTACTGATTTGATCCACATGACTGGTCTACGGGATAAGTTCTATTATTACTCGCATTTCCCATAGGAACAAACTGAAGCATGGGGAGGTTAAGTGGACCAGTGTTACTCAGCTGGAGGAAGAGCTGAGGTTGGCATCCAGAATTCTGGGTGTGGAGCTGCTGCCCTAGGCCACCATGGTACACTGCAGCTAGAGCTGCCCATAAGGAGTCTGTTGGAAGAAGCAACAGAAAGAGCAAGAATACTCTCTAAAGGAATGGAGAGGGGAAAACCTACAAAAAACTTAAAAATAATAGAAAAATCCGATTTAAGGTTTTATCACTTTCACAAATTCAGATTTAGGTCTGCTGGGAGGGAGAAAAAAAAATCAATCCTCTTTGAACAACCCTCTTAATATTAATTTTCTCTATCTAGCGCTTGGGGGAATTCAAGGAAATCACTAATCTTTGCATAGAAACCAACAGACACTTGTATTTGGGGGATGGGCAACAAAAGGCAGAGGTTGGTTAAGTCATGTCAGTCACTCTATTTACATTAATATTTTGTTCTTCCTAAGTCCTCTTCAATTGGAGATAGATTGGGCCCAGTTTTATCTTCCTTGGACATATTTGGCCAGATTTTCATTATTCTTAATTATGTTAACTCAAAGGGGATGGAGCTGAGGGCCTAATTCTTCCACTGCCATTGCTTAGATGAGACCCACAGTCAGTCACTGAGGAGGGTACATGGAACGATAACTTTTATATGTCATTGCTCATTTTATATCTTACGAAAGAAAATTACTGATAATCATCAGCTCCCATCCCTGGTAGTCATTATTTTGCAAAATTGGGAGATTTAAAAAATATATTGTGCTATAAATTAGCACAACCATCTTGAAGAACATTTTGCAAAATGTAATGAATGTGAGGATGTAAAAGCCCCGGAACCAGTACTTCCACTCCTCGATAGAGACATTCTTCCATAGGTTACGCAAGGGGACACGTATAACAACATTCACTGAAGTGTTGTTTGTAACTGCAAAAAACAAGGAGAGAGAGAGAGAGAGAGAGAGAGAAGAGAGAGAGAAACAACCAACATTTCCATCAATAGGAGGTTGAGCAAACAGTGATATATTCATTCAGTGGGATACTCCACAGCAGCTATAATGAATGGACTGGAGCCCTCGGTAATGATGTGGACACATCTAAAAACAATGTGGACACAATAAAGTAAGGAGCAGAGGATGCTGCAATATATCATTTCTAGAAGGACATAAAGCATGCAAAACCAACATGTTATCCATGTACATGAACATATGAAATATAAATATAAAAACATGCATAGAGATGATCAACATTGAACTCAAGAAAAGTTACTTCTCAGGAGAGAGAGAAATGGGGGCTGGGGAGAAGCAACAAGAGGGCTTGAATGGTATTTGCAAAAGCAATATCATTAATATTCATTATTAATATCCATTATTAATATTAATAATTTTAAAATATTAAGCAGATATTGTGAAATAAGAGTGGTCAAAGCTGGGTAGGTGGGCTTTATTGTTTTATTTTATCTCATATTATTGGAACATTTGAATGCCAACTCCACGGGATCAGGGACTTTGCTTGGTTGACTGATCTACTTTGGAAACTAGAAGAGTGTCCAGTGTGCACTCGGTCCTTAATAAATTGCTAACTGAGTGAATAGACGAATGAGTCTCCCTAAAGTTCTGTATATTTGAAATAATTCTTTTTAAAAATAAAGATAAAGAAAAAAATATAAAAACATTGTTTTCCCACAGCAAAAAAAGAGAAAGAAAGAAAGAAAGAAAGAAAGAAAGAAAGAGAGAGAGAGAGAGAGAGAGAGGGAGGGAGGGAGGGAGGGAGGGAGGGAAGGAGGAGGGGAAGAAGAAGAATGTAAAAATTAGGGGAGAATGAAAAATACTCTGATTTTTTTGTAGCACAAGTAATTGCAAAATATGTGTAAAAGGAAATTGTAGAAGAAAGGAGGAGATTTTTTGGAAATTCAATGCGTAAATTAGGAGCTTCCAAAAGAAAAAAAAAAAAAACCCAACCCAAACCACCAGGCTTAAAGATGGGAGCAGGGAGGGGAGTGGGCAGTGGGATGGTTCACTTTGGGAACAACTGATCATGAGTCTACGCAGTGGAACTCTCTGGATTGGTGTTACGGACAACAAAGGGCTGGTCAGACCCGGCAGCTCGGTCCTGCTGAGCTGCACTTTCTGGAGCAGACCAGACTACACCGGCTAGCAGCGCCTGAAGAAACTAACGTCCGTGCCCTTGGGTGCAAACACCTTCCAGATCCACGGGCAGGGCAAGGTCTTCTCCAGCCCCCACCACAGAGCACAGCAAAGCACAGCAGCAGGGAGCACCGTTGCATATACCCCAACATTTCCAGGCAGTCCCCTGTTCCGAAAAGGCTGGAAGAAACAAACAGGAGACCAGCTGCCTTCTTGCCCGCCTCCTGGAACACATCTGCACACGGCAAACCACAGGGGCATGCACCTGGGTCACGCATGCAGGGACACCAAGACAAACAAGTGGAAGAGTACCTCGGAAGTCACCTTGCAAGACAGTAACTTAGAGGTGTACTGGCGGAGAGGGAAAAGAGCAGGGTTAGTACACGGCAGAGACACACTCGCACGACACCCCCCAACACCCCAGCTGGAAACCAGTCCCCCCGCTGGGGGCGGACAGGAGGGGAGGACTCGCTTCATCTGATAGGAGTTTATCCAGAGATCTCTACCCTTTGGAGCAAGGAGATACCCTGCCACCCACTGAAAAAAATATCAGAGAAGCCACACGTTGTTAATTCAAGAGTCGTCGCTTCCATTTCCTGTGCCTTGAATTAACAAGATTCTCCTCCGTCCCCCCGCTGCCTTGTGGCCCACTGTCCCACAGGAGGAGGACACTAACCACAGGCAGGGCGTGATTTGGAGCCCAGGTTGGGGGTGGGTGGGTGGATTCCATGAAGCTGAGCCCAGGTGGTCCTCATCACTATTTGGGGGGCCTGGCTAGGTTCCTGGCAGGGGGGTGATCATGCAGGAACTAGAGGGACTCTTTGGTTCCTGTAGGAAACTAAGTCCCTGCAAGACAAGCCCAGAACAAAATGGACCAGCTATGGGAAATGACATAGAAGAATGCCCCCCTGTGGGATTATGGTATTGACCTCATTTACACAGCTTAGGACACTGGAGGCATTTCTTGGTCTCTGCCATTGGCATCGTGGACTGGTTACATGGGGTCCTATGTCCGGGGTCATTAATGGCTTCTAATGTGTAGTGCTACAAATTAGAGTTCTGTAATGACCAGGCTGAGGACGGGGCTCCGATGAATCCTTTGTGTCCCCCCACAGGGTGGGAGCGGCTAGGAGAAATCTGGGCAGCACGAAGAATCCTTGATTGCGGCCCAGCTTCCCATGGAGCCGGGGGTGTGGGGCTCTGGATGGGCTCATCCGCTCACTGAAAATAAGTGGGTGGAGTCTTGGTTTGAGGGGAAAGACTGCGAGGAATTCTTAGAAAAGCAATGAACTGCTAGTCCCCAGCTTTGCCTGAGAACAGGTGAGGCCTTCTCTCATTCCAAGACTGGCAGGGGTGACCAAAAGACTTCTCAGTAACTGTTTTTGGGGTGAGACAGAGAGTAGAAAATCCACCACGAGTAGATCCTATGCCACAGGCGGGGTTGGGGCTGAATGCCTATGGGAGGCCGTAATTTGGACGCAGGTCAGCAGCTCTTCAGTTGAGAAAGAGAAAGCAATCCACCAACCTGCTCAGGAGCGCCACTGACTCAAGAACCTACCATCCTCTTCTGAGGCTCAGGGAACAGCTGGCCAGAAAACCACTTTGGCCTAAATATCCTTCCTTTGCAAGGCATCAAGGAGCCTTTTAGGAAACTATGATTCATCAGCCCATTGTGTGTTCCATGACTAACAAGAGATGGTATCAGGCCTAGATAAGGGGATGTTTCCACATAAGAAAACCATTTCCAGAAAAGAGAAACCCACAATAAGGACAGGACCACTGCTGCTCCAGGGTGGGGCTATTGAATCTGCCTGGATGGCAAGGACATTTTTCTCGGGGTTGGCAAAAACTCATGGAAACTATGCGCACAGCTTCTCTTGGCTCCTCTGTCTTCCCTTTCTCTGTCCTTCCTGCTCAGTAAGACCGTGCATCTAACATACCACTACACATGTAGCCCAGAGGCCCCATTCTGTTTCTAGATCTTCCTTCTCCTTGGCCAGCAAGTTAGGATTCTTTTCATTCCAGTTAGAAAGAGCTTGCTGCTTCCTAAGAGCAAACACAAGGTTCGTTCCGGAGCCTGTGCGGGACCTGCTGCTGCCAGGTGACTTACTGGAAGGAATACTGGCAGGTGGGTGTGTAATGTGACACTGGACTCAGGTGAGCCATGTGAGGCTCCTGGAGGGTGCAGAGTCTAAGAAGCCACATCTTGCTCACAGAACAGTTTGTATGGACTGAACCAGGAAAGCTGAACTACAGGCTTCTGGGACAGGGAATCCAGGTACACAGTCAAACATCAAGCAATCCATTTGTTCCCTATGATGATCCTTCTGGTAGAAGAGACAAGGAAAGAGGGGGCCAGGGATCAGCAAGGGAAACAAATGAAAGTTTGTTCATTCCTACGGGTAAACGTCAACACGTTCCCCAGTGACTGATGTAGATACGATAGAAAGGATCCCCTGAATTAGAAGGTCTGAGAGCTGAAGTCACAGGTGCCTCTAAAATCAGGTCTGGCGGATGGTCACGTATTTGCTTTAGAAGCAATCTGAGTAGGTGTTGGAAATTCTGGGTCGCTTAAAAGAGGATATAGTGGATTGAACAGATTTTGTTCTGTTCCTAAGGACTTCCTCCAACAATAAATGTGGTTCTCTTGTAGTACCAAGGATGATGCAAAACACCTGGCTTTGGATATTAACAGCCCAGTTAGTTAATAAGGTTTCTTCCTTATTTGACATGTTTATTTACTTGAGAAAAATAGAGACAGGAAGCTGCCTCTCACTGAGTGAGGGGTCATCGTATATTGAAATGTTGGTTCCAAGAAGCTTCCTTAATGCAGAGGGGAAACCCAATCTGGTTGCATCCTGAGTTTGCAGGAAGGTGGCTTCCAGCCCCTGTGGGTGGAATGAGTAGCAGTGGGCTCTTCGTTTGGGTGGGTAGCATTTCCTTCTAGTATCTGCACCTCAACACAAAAGGCTCACACAAGAGATATGTGGCACGTGCTTTAGGAAACACTTGCATGGGTCACATGCAGAGTGGTTCCATTCACTCCTCCCCTTCCATGCTGGATGCAAGGGGTCTGCTCCGTTAACTTTCACCACAGCTGCTGACAGACGCTGCAGACTCACCGGGAGAAAACAAGCCACTTACAGCACTAGGTTTCAAAAGCACAGGCTCCAGAGAATACCTAAAGGTAAACTCCATATTTTAAGTGGGGCTGCAAAGAAGGGCTGGCTCAGGTGACTTCATGGGCAGAAGTCCTATGGGCTTGGGGCAGGAGCCCCAACAGCAGAAGGGTCTGTGCCAGTGCCAAGGGCCAGGCCCCATCCACTATGCAGTACGAGGAATGGCCCCCAAATGCTCCAGCCTAACAGAATAGCCGAGTCAGTGTTCCAGGCAGCTTAGGTGTAACCCCAAGGGAGAGGGACACAAGCGAGTCATCAGGCTGCTACAGATATGTCTGCTTTCTGTATCATTAAGTATTTTAAAAGCAGCGTTCGGTATCTGGATTTACGTCCAGAAACCCTCGGACTTAGCCCCCTAGGATATGCAAGGCAGCAAGTAGGCATGGGAGTCCTACTGTGAGCCCGCGGCATTCAAGTTTAAAGTGACCCAATAATTTATCATCCAAACTGGGGCACTTTCAGAGGTGAAAGAGGAGGCTATTGGAAATCACACCAGAACCACAGGCATAAACCAGCACGGTCTGGGTAAACTGGGCAGTGTCGTCAATTGACCCAAGCAAAACTGTGTGGGGATGGGGGATGATCACTTCAATAAATGGTACAAGACTGAAGCTACCAGACTCCCAGGAGGTTGGCACAGGCCCGAGGCTGGTCCCTAGGCTCCTGGCTGTGGAGACTGTGCAAAACAATGGCCCTTGTGTCTCTTACTGGAGAAAGAAACCACAGAGCAGATGACTTCCTTCATGGCTCATGTGAGTGTCATGTGCAAAAGTCTTGACAACTGAGGGCATCAGGGCAGCCCTGTGGTTTCCAACTGTCATTTTAAATGGCTCTTTCCTGCCAAGCTGTACACACACGCTTGGTAAGAGTCCAAAACACACTCAGCCTTGTGCACACTGTGTAACCTTTATGGGGACTGCTCAGGGTGGACATGAGGGGGATGGCATCATCAGAGCTCTCTAGAGAAATAAAACCTCGACGGGGCAGGCCAGCGATGGTAGCAGTTGGCCCCCTGGTGCCCGGGGGACGATTTCAGGGTGCTTGTGTCCTTCCTCTTGTGTTGCCCTAACATGTTTCGTTTGTTTTTTCTACACACCCGACATCCCCAGCACCAGCTGGGGCTCCAGCCACACTCGGCAGCAGAAGGACCCACTCTTCGCACAACATTTTTTGAGAAACAGGGCCAAAACACCCAAACCCCACTCCAGGCATGTTAAACGATACATGTGAGAACTGGTTTTGGAACCAGGATGCTGGCCAGACGACTGCGCGCGCGCACACACACACACACACACACCCGAGCCTGAACTGGAATAACCATACACCAGGCGGATGTTCGCGCTCGGAGGAGGGGAGGAGGGAAGGAGGAAAAACTTACACTACTATCATCCATCCTCTCACGCCTTTTAGATTTGTGTGTCTCATAGTCTTCCATGAGGGTCTGCATCAGATTCTTGGGCCGCTGGAATCCGGCAGCCTCTTCAGGGGCTAAGTCAGGCTGCGAGCTGGGGCCTTCAGCTGAGGGGGATGGAGGAGGTTTGACTTTCTCTATTGTCCCTGAAACAACACGAAGAGAACACCCTTTCTAAGCTTGTCTGCTCATGACCGCTTCTAGAAAGAACACGGGCAAAAAGCAACCTCTGACAGAGAGCAGTAGTTAAGTGCAGGTCCCCTCACGGCAGAGACTAAAGGTTGAAGCTGAAGTCACAAAGCCATCCGACAAAGACCTCAAGGACACCAGTGCTACAGAGTCAGTAGGACCAAGGAGGCCCACAGGCACTTTGGAAACATATGTCAGAAAGACACTGGCTCCGGGTGTTCTGGGGACATGTCCTCTATCATGGATTGGAGGATTTGGCTGTCAGAGGTGGCGGTGCCATCGAGCCTTTCGAAACCCACTTTTTACAGCTGAGGAAAACAGGCCCTGCAAGGGGGCTGCCATGCGGAGGCCCCAGGGTGCTGGTGATGGTACCAGGTCCCCTGCTTTCCTTACCAGGTTCTTTTCTTACATGAGAAGCCACCCACGGGCAGCCGACCTGCCCAGCCTTTCTGCATGGATAGCCCAGGACTATAAAACATTTGAATGAGAACCAGGCTTGTTCTTCCCAGGTCATCCCAGTCTTCCATTGGCCAACTTCCTTCTTGACCTTACCTGCCGGGGTCCTGAGAGCATATGGTTTGAGACCCTCAGACCATAAGGTAGGAATACCGACAAAGGCAAGGTCCGTGTTGTAGAAAGGTGTGTGCCAGACTTTGGGAAGGGGTGACTTTAGCTTCTGAAGTGCCCTACAAGAATTCTCAGGATAAGGGGATTGGGTCAGCTGTGATGGTACGGTGACTCCAGACACTTTCATTAAGACGGTCCGCATCCTTCCCTCTTGGGAAATGCCTGGCCCTGATTTCTGGCCCATCACGGGGTTGGTCTCATTGCCACAGAGCCCCAGGTGCACTTCTGAGAAGTACCTTCAGGTGCAACAGCCACGATTTTTCCAACTAGGCCCCTTGTGGGAGGCATGGCGAGGGTGATGGACAAGGAATGTAGAGGAGATACACAAAATAAAGAGGGCCATTTGAGTCGAAAAGTTTGGAAAGCACCAGTGGAGGAGACAGACCCATTTGACCCCTTTCATTCTCCAGTGGAAGGTGGCTCATGTTTCTTCCTCTGACTCCCTAGACTTCTAACTTGGCAACAGCCTGCTGTAGCCACAGTCACGAATGAAGCCCAGGGACTTATCTCTGGGTGGGCGGCTACAGTCCTTCGCACAGCTCGTTTTGATGGGAGTTGGACACCCTCCCGACCGCCTAGAGTTCAGGAAACCCAGGCTTCAATTCTTGCACTTCCATTAACTAGCTCCGTGTTGATTGTAGACAACCACGTAATTGTTCCCACTTTTATTTTGGGCTGATCACTTAAGAGTTCCAAGTCTCAACTCTCCCAGTTATAAAAAGAGAGTTTGGGAAGAAGTTGTCTTTGAAGTCCCTTCTAACTCAACTATTTTGCTATTCAGACAAATTTTTTGGCAAGAAGATCAATCCTTATTGGTTAAAAAAAAGGCACAGGGCCATCATATTTGGCATATTAGATACGAAGTGGTTTTTAATACACAGGGCACTCTATCTGCAGAGCCACGATTGTATCATTACTCAGTGAAATGCATGGCCTTGACCTAAATTACACAGATCACTAATAAAAAGTCTTTTGATAGGACAGTTAGGCAATTAATATTTCCAAGTCCTCAAATTCACTAGCAACGGATTCTATTTTTTATTATGGAAACAGGGAATGCTATAATGATTTATAGACCCATCCACTATATTACATAGTTAGCAGGATTTTACCCTGCCTTCTCAATCTACCCTTCCTTCCTTCTTCTTTTCATACTGAAGTATTTTAAAACAGTCCCTAGACCTTAGATAGTTATCACCCCCTGAGAGCTTAAGGATGTATCTCTAAAAATTCCCATTGCCTTTTAAAATGAAACCTTGAAAAATTACACGGCAGAGTGGTCAGCACGCAGCTGTGGGGTGAGCCGCTTGGGTTTGAATCTGCTACTTAGCAGCCACAGAACCTTGGGCAAGTTACTTACTGTGTCTCTCATCTCAGTGTCCCCATCTGTAAAATGGGAATGATGCTAGAGGTACCTTCCTCACACAGTTGGTATAAGGACTAAGTTGATATTTATAAAGTTAATATTTAAGACAGTGAGCATCCAAGGAATCTAGTTACTATTGATTTTCACACTTGATCTTAGCCAAAAGGCCAAGAAGCGCTACTACTGATTTCTAATCTCAAAGAACAGTATGTCTACAGAGGGAGAATGGGCAATTTCAAGGACATACTCTGCATAAGAGTTTTACAACTCTTCCAGAACTAGAAATAGACACCACATTGCCAGGTTCAGCATTTTCCAACCGACTTCATGGGTATCCAAATAATTTCCCTATAGTCATATTAACCTTCTAGAAAGCAGAGCCCATGCTCCAACTTCCTCCTTTCACACATACCATAGCAGGACCCCTGGCTCATGGCATTTTTTTTTTATACTTCTGTGAAAGCCTTTTCACATATTGGCTTGTATCATACATCTTTGTTTGAGCTTCTCTTCTCAGTTAAGCTATCATGTCAACCCAGGATAGGGATGATTTCAAGCATTATGAGCCCCTTAACTCATCTGAATGTAAACTCCATTAGAGTAGGTCCTTGTCTGTCCTGGTCATTGCTGGATCTCAGCACCCAGTGGGGTATTTGGCACAAGGTAGGAGCTCCTGTTTGTTGAATAAACCAGTGAGTACATTGTGACATACACTAGCAGCCACTTACTAGATACTTGTGGATTGGGACAAAATTCCCAGTAAAAAAATCTGAGGAAAGAGTTTAAATGTTTTCACCAAAGCCATGAAATAAAGCAATCTTGGTCTACAGAATCACAAACTCAACAGCTTTGTAGTAATAACAAGTACACTTATGTGGCATTTTAGTTGTAGGCTTCATGTCATGTGATCCTTACAACAACCCTGGGATGTAGTCGGGGTCGATGACACGACATCTGAGAATGGTTTAGAGCACAGAGACTCTGCGGCTAAAGCCAGCCTAAGTTACGTTAGCTAGAGTTAACATTCAGAGTTGGGTCTGGTCTGGAACCCAAATTGTGTTGATTATGGCTAAATTAGATGATGGGAGGTAGGCTGAAAGAGAATCATAAAGAGAGTGAAGGGTTAATATAGAGAAGTAGTCAAATATTGAACATTAAAATACATTTCTCAGCTTATTAATATTCCAGCAAAACCACCCATCCCCGGAGCAAGTTTTACCGGCTACAGCCACTAGAGGTCACATGAGTAACAGGTAAGAAGACCCGGCTGAGTGGGTCTGGAACTGCCACCTCCAAAGAGGCTAAGAAGTCAGAGAGAATAGGTGTCACATTGACCAACCCCACGTCACAGCTTCAAGGGAAGCTGTCACAGGTCGCCTGGGAAAGGAGGCACTGGGACCCATCCCTGGACTCCTGGCCATCAGTGTGGTTGGTATGAGAGGAGGTCGCTTGGCTGGGCTTCTCTGCTGGGCCCTGTGATCTCCAACCATCCTGCCCTCAGGACGGTTCCAACTCTGCACTGGAATTCCGTGTGCCATCTCAGGACTGACACAGATTGCCAAACAGTGGGAGGGGCATCTGCTCCATACCCAATGTCTTCCTCTGAAGGCCCAAGATTGCCGCCAACAGTCCTCTCGATGAGAACGGTGAAGAAACTTCTAATGTTCTTTCCGCAGCAGTGGACACTGCACACACCACCACGTTTGGTCTCGGGGATCATTACATGAATGTGATGCGAAATGGTCTGTGCCACAGACCTGTGAAGTCTGTCTCACCTTGTCCATGGCCCTGTAAGGCCCCTTGAAATTCCTTGGCCCAGAGGACGCACCCCATTATGATTCCAGAACAGTGATGGTTATTTTGGGGGCTCACACAGCACTTCCCAGCACCTCCAGTTTCCATCCTCACTTGCTCCATCAAAACTTGCTCTCACATGTTTATTCACTTAGTGAATGACTGGATAGCTGATGGTAGCTGAAAGGGGCCTCGGTTTTCAATGACCAATATCCTGCTGTCTCACTCGCTGGTGGGGACTGCATACTCTACAAACTAGCTCTCTTGATGGACGCCCGCCACTGTCCCTGTGAAACCACATGAACAGAAAGCATCACGCAGACCTCAGGGTACACCTGTGCTGGTCTTGGCCAAAGGGTGGCACCTGACATTTACAGAGCAGAGAGCAGGTGCACTGTGAGTTCTATGACATTTGACGTAAGGAACCATCAGAATAATAAAACTAGGTGGGAATGCTCAGTGGAGGGTAGGAAACATTTTCAAGTTTCCTTCATAAACTAAAAATAGTTGTTCAAACTATTCCATCTAGAGTAACGTTATTTATTTGTTACTACTTTTTAAAATTTGTCTTAAATTCCAGTATAGCTTTTTTTAAAAAAAGATTTTATTTATTTATTCATGAGAGACACAGAGGGAAGCAGAGACACAGACAGAAGGAGAAGCAGGCTCCCTGTGGGGAACCCGATGTGGGCCTCGATCCCGGGATCCTGGGATCACGCCCTGGGCCAGAGGCAGACACTCAACCACTGAGCCACCCAGGCGTCCCTAAATTCCAGTATAGTTAACACTCAGTGTGATACTCACTTCAGGTGTACAATACAGTGATTCAGAAAAAAAACAAAAACAAAAACAAAAAACAATACAGTGATTCAACAATTCTATCCGTTACTCAGTGCTCATCATGGTAAGTGTGCTCTTAATCCCCATCACCTATTTTACCCATCCCCCTACCTGCCCCTCTGGTGACCAGCAGTTTATGGTCTACAGTTCAGAGTCTGGCTTTTCGGTTTCTTTTTTTTTTCTTTGTTCATTTGTTTAGTTTCTTAAATTTGTCTTCCTCTGACTGACCTATTTCATTTAGGATTAAACCCTCCAGATCCATCCGTGTTGTTGCAAATGGTAAGATTTCATTTTTGATGGTTGAATAATATTCATGTGTGTGCGTACACA